GAGAAAGTGAGTGCTGGGAGAGGGGGGTGTGCATGGGGCCATGGGGCAAGGGCTTGGGACATTTGGGACAGCCCTTTGAGGGCCACCACATTGTTCTTCCAGGGTGACCGGGGAGAGAAAGGTGACCGGGGTGAGCAGGTGAGCTGGGATGGGAACATAGTCCCCACCATCCCCCCTGTGCTGTGCACCTCTCAGGGAAATGAGGGGCTCTCCTGGTGACTGGGACATGCCCTGTGGTGACCAGGAGTGGCTGTACTCACTCCCCTGTGCCCTGCTGTCCCTTTGGTGCCTCACCTATTTTCCTTACCCCACCAGGGTAGGGATGGCTTGCCTGGCCCCCCAGGGCCCAAGGTAGGTGATGACCGCTGCTGGGGACCGTCCCCAAAGTGTGCCAGCCTGCACCTCTGGGGATGGATGGCAACGGTCACGTCCAGCCCCCCTGGCATAGGGGTTTGGGTAGGGCTGTGCCTCGAGGGGACCCTCCTGGGGTCCCCTGGGTGCCAGCCCTGACTGCACCCTGCCTGCAGGCAGACGTGGTGGAGGGCAGCCTGATGGGCCTCCCTGGCGAGCGTGGTCCCATCGGACCTAAGGGAGTGAAGGTGCGTGGCTGGGCAGAAAGGAGTGGGACGGAAGAGGCAACCTTGCTGGGGACAGCGTGAGGAGCTGGGCTGGCTCTGAGGACGGTGGTGGGGCACGTGCCCCGAGGCGGGCAGCACGGGCTGATGGCCTCTGTCTTCTCCCCGTCGTAGGGTGAGCCAGGAGCTGAGGGTGAGCGGGGACCCAAAGGAGATAAGGTCTGTGGTCATAAGTCTTCCACTGCCAACAGGGCAGCCCCACAGAGCAAAGCCCCAGGTGGGGGCACTGCTGGGGCCACCCCTTCTTGGGTGTCAGGTCCCTGCAGGTCCCTGCCCATCCTACGACCCTGCGCCTGTCCCTGCTGCAGGGTGAGGGTGGCCCACGGGGCGAGCGAGGGGAGCCCGGTGAGAAAGGCAGGGATGGCACCCCGGTGAGTACCACGCTGTCCCCCGCCTGGCACTGGTCCCATCCCCCCGCCTGGTGCCAATCCCGTCCCCGTGTCTCGCTCCAGGGCCTTCCGGGTGAGAGAGGGCTGGCCGGCCCCGAGGGGAAGCCGGTGAGTGGGGACATGGTGGGGGGATGCAGGCTGGGACAGGGTGAAGGGCCTGTGGTCTCACCACCAGCACCAGCGGGAGCATTCACATCTTGTTGACCTCCTTCCCTCCTGTGCAGGGCCCGCAGGGCTTTAGGGGGCCTCCTAGGCTCCCCTGTAAGTACCCCGGGCTGGGTACCGCACCTTGGAGTGGGGAGCATCCCTGGGGGGCAGGCAGGGCTGCTGGGGGGTGGTGGGCTCCCGCTCGTCTGCCGGCTCTGACGTGGTTCTTTGCAGGGCTTGCCAGGCTTCCCCGGCGTGCTGGGACGCCCGGTAGGTGTCTGTGCCCCCCCTGTCACCATGCACCCCGTGTCACTGTTCCCCCCCTGGCTCTGTGCACAGCTGGGGGTCCACAAGCACTGGGTGAAGCCATGGGGGCCACCCTGATGCCTGGGTGGGTGCTTGGCTCCAGGTATCTTGCCAGGGGCTGGCCAGGCTTGTCCTCACCTGACATGGGTGCTTACCAGAGCCACTGGCACTGCCAGGGTCTCCTCTTCCCTGTGCACCCATGGGGGAAAACCCACCCCTCTGATGACCCCATCTTTTCCCCCTGTCAGGGCAACCAGGGAGACCCAGGACCCCCAGGACCTCCGGTAAGGAGCCACCCCATGCCATGTGCAGGGGACTGTCATACAAGTGGCAGGTGTCCCCCAGAGAGCAGGAGAGGGGTGGCAGTGCTGGGACTGCGCTGCCCCATCCCTGACCTGTGCCACCACCAAGCACTGCCCCAGCATAATGTAATGTCCCCTTGTCCCCACAGGGCAGCACTGGCCCCCCAGGGACCCAGGGCCCAGCTGGGGCCAAGGTATGGCATCAACATTGACATCTGTATGGGCATCGCTTTGTCCAGCCTGGCAGTGGAAAGCTGTGCCTTGCCAAATGTGGGGACTGGCAGGAGGGCATGTGGGGACATTTTGGGAGGGAGGGAGGGACATTTCAGATTGGATGCCCTCTCAGGTGCAGCTGACCCTGGGGCACAGCCGCATGGCAGGCACGGGGACATGGCTGTGACCGTGATGGCTGGCGGGTCGGGGTGGTGGGACTGATGCAGGCACTCTTTTCACAGGGTGATCCAGGGGAGCCTGGCTCTGGCATCCGGGTGAGCACCTGTGGCCCCTCTATCCCAGCACCCACCTGGTGTCCCCCTGGAACCATCAGATCTCTCAAAGCCGGCCGGCCCCACTGCCACACAGTGGGGGTCGTGGCTGTGTCAGGGCAGTGCACCGTCCCCTCTCTGACGTGGCTGTTTCCATTGCAGGGCTTGCCTGGTCCCCAGGGCAATGTGGGGCTGCCCGGTTCCCCCGGGCCCCCGGGGCCGGGGGTAGGTATCTGTAGCCCCCCAACCTCCTGTCTGGCTGTTCCTAGTGCCCAGCCTGCCATGATTTCTGCTCATGTCTCCCTTGCAGGGCCCACCGGGTGTCCCTGGGCAGCCAGGACAAGTGGTGAGTATGCCACCCACCCTGCCCGGCTGCCAGCAGTGTGGGTGCTCAGGGTTGCCAGGGGGGCTGTGGGCCCCCCGTGCCCCAGCCCTGCTCTTCCTGCCCACAGGGGGAGAGCGGGAAGCCGGGCGTGCCAGGCAGGGATGGCATGCCAGGGAAGGATGGCGAGGCCGGGATGCCCGGGAAGATGGTACATTGCTGCTCACCCCATCCTGTCCACGCAGGAGCACCACGGGGCTCAGCCCGGGGTGTCTGCTGCTGAGGCTGAGGGCCCTGCTCCTTGTGCCAGGGCGTGCCAGGACCTTCAGGCCCTGCCGGTCCCAAGGGAGCGCCAGGGGATGCCGGAGCCCCGGGGCCGGTGAGGGCAGAGGTGCTGAGAATTTCCCCGGGGCTCCCTGGCCAGGACAAGGGGCAGCAGCATCCCTGTGCAGCACTGCTCACCTGCCCCATCTCTGCCCTGTGCCCCAGGCCATTGCTGGCCCCCCCGGTGCCAAAGGCGAGAAGGTAAGGAGCCAGGGAGTGAGGTGGGGGGACCCCGACCACTGGGTGCCACCCCCAAGTTGGGCAGGGGTCCGTGGGTTGCTGAGCACCCTTGTCACTGCAGGGCGAGATGGCGCTGCTGGAGGGTGTGCTGCTGGGAGAACCTGTGAGTTGGCACCATCAACCTCGTTCCTCCTCATTAATGTCATCCCCCCACTGCCACCCCACGCCTTCTCGAGGGTGAGCCAGCCCTGTGGCTGCCCCCCTTCCTCCCTCCCCTAACTCTGCTTTCCCATTGGTAGGGCTCCAAGGGTGACCGAGGCTTGCCCGGCCCCAAGGGCGAGAAGGTGAGTGCTGCTGGCGTGGGGCTTGTGCGAGAGGGAGCCATGGGGGCCCCGGGCTCCCCAGCTGCCTGCACACAGCACAGGGAGTCCAGATGCAGCCACACCCCCTGCACGTCATCTCCCAACCCTGTTTTTTGCTTGTTTCCCTCTGCCAGGGGGAGCCAGGAAGATTCGGGGAGCCAGGGGATCCTGGGGAAGATGTGAGTAGGAGGCACATAAGGGGCCAGGTTTGGGTGCTGGGGGCAGTGGATGGGACCTGTGTCCCTGCCACCACCCATCCAGCCCTTCCTGGTGGCTTGATGTCTTCATAGGGAGCCAAAGGGTCTTCCGGAGCCAAAGGGGAGAAGTTAAGTGTCCCCTGGTCCCAAGCACTCCCCAGCCCTGTGGGGCCACTCTGGGTGGCACAGTGCCCTTGGCACCCTGGTGCCCACCAGCCAGGGGACACGCCGTGTGCTCTGCCCCAATGCAGGGATCGCCGGGTGTTGGTGTGCGGGGACCTCCAGGACAGGACGGGCCTCCAGGCTTGAAGGTAACCCCTGTGTCCCTCTCAGCCTGGCTCTTGCCATGTCCCCAACACCCAGGTGCTGCCCTGGCTCAGCCAGCCAGGGGAGAAGTGTGTTCCTGGGGCCTGTTTCCCTGGACCCCATCTTTTTCCTCCCTGCTGCAGGGTGACATCGGTTTGCCAGGACCACCAGGACCCCCAGGCTTAGCAGGCATCGCTGGGACACCGGGACAGCCTGGCCTGAGAGGGGACAACGGGCGGCCTGGCCCACCGGGTCCCCCAGGAGAGAGGGTAAAGGCTACGGCCGGTGCTCGGCCTCACATTCAGGCACTTCAGACCCTCAGCAGCACCAGCAGGGTCCCTGCCAGCTCCTGGCCACGGCCCTCGCCTGCTCATCGTGTTTCCGTGCCAGGGTTTGATCGGCTTTCCCGGGAGAGACGGCACCTCCGGGCCGCCGGGACCTGCAGGGCCCCCAGGGCCGGCTGTGAGTATGGGGCGCTGGTGCTGCAGCACCCCCGGGGGAGCACGCTCTGTCCTGGCTGCCCTG